TTTCTGATAGTTGCTTCAAAGTGCAGTAAACTGCTCACTGTGTTGCTCCACTAACACAGTGTAAGAATTACCTCTTATACATATTTAAACTTTTTTTTGACTGGATGACTCAAGTTTTACAGTAAATTGGAGTTTTGGCGCTTTTCTCTGAATGTCGTAGTGTTGTCTGGGGTTGGCCCCACCCATCTGGCGCTCATAAAGGTTTAAATAAATGCTATCAATAACTTTCAAGTGTTATTTGACATAGGTCTCATTACAAAACACTCTTATAATCTTGGACTCACAGTGACGTGCCACGCTGCACATAGTTACCGTGAACCTCAGTGAATACTCAAGTGTTTGTAACCAGCAACTGGCATGTTGGAATAAACACAAGCTGCAGCTGTCTTACTAAAACTGTCCTTGCGTTTAAACAGCGTGCTATTGTTATGCTCTCTAAAGTCAGCAATGTGGCGTCTGCAGACTGCTACATAAACTACTCTGCACAAGTCTCAGCAGCTCCTGAGCTGCCAAATGATACAAGAATGGTTATTATAAAACAAGCTGGTAAAACAGTTCTGAATTTGAAGCTAAATGACACAAACACAAAGCAGCATAGGCATAGCACCTGAATATGCATTGATACTGCTGCTATTCCAGAAAGTTCCCTTCAACCGTGATTTCTGACACCTGCTCCCCATCCTGCACTAACCATCCAGAAACCTCTTCTTCACAAAGCGGCAGCAGGAAGCCCTCAGGTGTCAGCAGACTGCACTCAGACACTTTATTAAGCCACATCCATCCAGCCTACCTTCACTCTCAGAGGGTCTCCTCCAGTGGCTCAGAGGTGACAGATCTCCACCTGTGACAGCAGAGCTTAAATCTCAGCCTCACTCTCTTTTCATCCAACTCCCTGTCTTTAACATTCACTTCCTGTCCTTCGCCACGTGCTCTTTCTGTTGTTGGTTTTTAAAATATTTCCCCCTCTATGTGGTTAAAACCTTTGCCCCTTGTCATCAGCCAGCCTGCTGCTCCCCTCACTGAGAGCTCAGGCCTGGCCCAAGCCCATGGCATCTCGCATCCAGCCACCTGATTGGCCCGAGGGCAGAGAAATGCCCCCATATTAGGGCAAAATGAGGCGGGGCTGCATGACGATAATAAAGGGAGGAGGAGGAGAAGATAATGCAATTTATGACATAGTAGACAATCTGTCTAAGTGAGACTACTGACTGTCTCTGTGGGTCTCAGATTCCTGCAGCAGGTCTGCACACAAAAATCAGTAAACTTGTCATTGGTCTATAAAAAGTTAGAGAATACACACACACACACACAATTATCAGGAAGTTAGCTGCACTCATTTCCCTAGTTCCGGTATCAATTTCAAGTGATTGAAATTGTTCTATAAAAATAAAGCTGGCTACATCGCAACATTAATATGGCATTTGTAAAATGAGATTAAAATAAAAGCTCAAAGATATATCTTTCTGCTTTGGATAATGCTTTTTTCCCATTGATTATCTAACTTCATATTGCTGAGTTTGCATGACGCACTGGTGTAATTGAGCTGCCATTAAGTTCTGGTCACTTACAGTAATATGAAAGCTGGGTTTTCTTTCCAGTAAGGAGTCAGCTGTTTGTACTTTAGACCTCTATGTCCCAGCTGAGAGATCTAACTTTAAACAGAACAACAAGTGATGTTGTTGAGAAGTTGTGACAAATGGCTAAACATAGGAGCAGCAGGCCTTGGATCTTGTTTTAGAGCAAGTGTGACGCTTCCTTTCAGGAGAGCTGCTGCTGTGAACTGAGTGACAGCTGACAGAGTGAATATGTCTCTATATCTATGTGTGTTTCTGTTTGTTTCCCTCCTTGTATTTACAGATGGTTTGTAGTAAAGCATCTGGCTGCAGAGCTGAGGTACATATGAGGAGGATTAGATGTGCCAGTGCCCTCCCTACTGCCAATTATACAGTATCACCTGTAGTAATCTGACTCTTTCTGGATCCCTGTAAATAAATTCTCCTCTACAGTGAGGTCAGAGGTCACTCAGTGAACTGGTTGGATTCAGTGCCTTGTTCAATGGCACTTCAGCAGAGTGGGCGCTGTCCAACTAGAAAGCTTCATCCTCAGGTTTTAAACCCCTAAACATAGAGTACACTGTATTCAGCACCTGCCACCCAGAGAAAACAGTTATGGTGGTAGTAATGTGAACAAAGCATGACTGACAACTTCACCCTCACTGAGCTGAAATCAAGCGAGACCGCCTTCACTCCAGTGGAAGTAACTCAGCTGGATTAAAGGAGTTTAACCGACACTGTAAAATAACTGTATCAAGCCTCATCGCCTGCAGATTCTACCCCAGCATTAAAGCTGAAAAATGTCCATTAACTAATGTTACACTTTAGAAACAAGATGTGGTCTTGGCAGCCAATCACGTTAATATTTAGCACTGCACAATAAAACTAATTTGCAGATTAAGTCTGAACTTTGACATTTTATAGAGGAAATGTTTAAACAAATAAATAAAAGACACCTTCCTAGGGAGGTGTTCCGGGCATGTCCCACCGGGAGGAGGCCCCGGGGAAGACCCAGGACATGCTGGAAGGACTATGTCTCTCAGCTGGCCTGGGAACGCTGGGCATTCCCCTGGAGGAGCTGGAGGAAGTGTCTGGAGAGAGGGAAGTCTGGGCCTCTTTGCTTTTTGCTGCCCCCGCGACCCGGTTCCGGATAAGCGGAGGAAAATGAATGAATGAATAAATAAAAGACTAAGAACCGACTTTAGTATGACAATGTTTCAATACAAATGGTAGTGACTGTAGAAAAGTATTAACTAAAACTATTAATTGTTTTGACCAGTTCTGACTATTCGGGTCAACTAAATAAGTTCATGCTCGTTTGAGCACTGCAGGCCCTGCACACCTGTGGTGCACCTGCCTGATTAGACCAGAACTGTGTGGATATGTACAAACATCTCCCTCACCCCTGTGAAGTTTGTAGCTGGTTTGGTGTTCTCACATAATTCCCACACCACAGTCTGAGCAGAGGTCTGAAGTGGGAACAGCTGCATGAGTGTGCAGCACTTTCATACAGATGCCGGGGCTTTATAAGCCACATTCAATTGCAGACCCCTGCCACCCAACCCATAACCCCCCTGCAGACCCAGAAAAACACCATCCAACCCACAGCCCTCCAGATGAGTGTGTCTTTTGCCAGTGGGCCAGGCAGAGGTGGGGTGGTCGGGGGTGGGAGAGGCTGTCAGCACAGATCGGGTGACCAGCACTGTGTCAGCTAACATGGTCATTGTTGCACTCCAGCTCCCACACAAAGCTGGGATTTTGGGCCTGGGACCTTGAAACAAGGGCTGGACAGAGGAGAGGCAGCACCCTATTGATATGTCACCTGAACTAAACGTACTTCATGCTCCTACATAAAACCCCCAGAAGTAAATCGATTAAGCTAAAGGCTTCGTTTCAGAGATCTGGTTTGAAAGTATAAGCTCTTTACCTGACTGTGATGTGTGTTTAAGAGTCAGGGTGGCCAGGAGAGAGACAGATCAGGGGAGAGTAAAATTAGAACTGAGGACGAGTGGGGGTGTTGACTGGTGAGGAGGGGCGGGCAGCTCAGTTGGGCCTGATGTCCCACCAGACCATGACTATTCCCTCGTCAGCGCTTAAATGGGCCAGAAAACTGGAGCAGGCTGTGTGTATGTGTTACTCACATTGTTGAATATAAATCTGTTTACACAGTCACATTGTGTGAACTGAATTTCCTTCACAGGACAAAAAGACAAAAATTTAGGGTGAAGGGCAGTGTTGGGAAGGTTATGACTGAAATGTAACAGGTTACAGATTATTAGTTACTCTGTTAAACATGCAATAATGTAACTTTTACTTGAAAGTATCGTAACATTACTTTTCTAAAATATATTTTAAACTGGGCAAAGCTGAAAAGCCCTAACAAATTTAAGCCTCACAACAGTACTCGATGCTCATTACTGTCAAACTTTTAATGAAAGTTCTTCAGCACAACTTCAGTTACATGATACATTACTGCTGAAACATGCAGCCTCCTGAACGGGCACCAAGCAAAACCCTTTGATGATTTCAGAAGGAGAATGCTTTTGCATTTCCTGCACTGAAAAGCTTTGCCTGACAACATGACCACCTGCCGTGGTGTTGTCGGCAGCTCATAGCCAGACATGGCAGATTCATGCTGCTTAGAGCAGTGTGAGTTGATTTGATTGATAGATGAGAGGCGGTGCCAAGACAAACAAGAGAACCAATCAAATGCATTGTTTAAAACTAAACGCACGCCGCCAAGTGAATGGCACCTGTCTAGACATAGAGACAGCTCCTTGTTAGTCATCCTATCGTTGGTGTTTTTGTTCCAACAGCTTTGCTGACCCCCGTTGTCAAAGAACACACTATGGTAAAAGAAGACGTTCTGCACAGCAAGAAGATGCAAAACAACAGAAATATTCTAATATTCTAATATGACTGATATACGAGTATCTCTTAGCCAGCTGAGCAATAAGCTGAAGGTCCCTTCGGGTATGAGCATCAGCTCAAGACCCTGTTTGTAAATTTACTCTTCATTCAAACAAATGTGGCTCATAAAAATGTGACTCAGTGGATATTCTAAATCAACCACAAACACAAAGAAGCTATGAGTGGAAATATCCAGGAGTGTGAAGCCGTATGACAGGTGTGGACATCCGATTCTCAGTTTGTCAGACTGCTTCACTTTTTATAGTTATAATTTAATTCTGAACTAAACTTTGAATTGTCATCAAGCTTGACCAGAGTCAAGCTCAAGTTTTGCTGTGCATTTCTTAACAACAGTTCCCAAAGTTCAACCATTACAGAGCAAATCTTTTTATGACAGTTTTTGTCAAACAATCCAACAAATAGTGGAGAAGCAGAATTTCAGTTAGGCTTTTTTTTTTTTTGACTGTGCAAACTGTTACTTTGAGGGAGGTTGTGTTGCTTCTTACACACAGTAAGGAACAAGTTATTCATCCTGACCTGCATTGGAGGAGGGCGTCCAGGTGACTCGGAATATTGCACGCAGACAGTCACACATGGTCCGCAGTAGGAAGCTGATGGAGAAGACACACCGATGGAGCAGCCCACGCTCAGGCTGTGGGAGGCAGGCGGCTGTTGGAGACAACCGAAGGGCCAGCTTGATTGTTTGGGCCCAGGGGAGACCCAGCTACACAATGCCAATGAATGGAGGGAGGAAGAGGGATGAACAGGGGAGGAGGGATGGATGGAAAGAGAGAGACAAAGTGGGACTGTCTCATCAGTGTGTATATATCAGCGTATGGACCACTGAACCTTCTTTTATTTCCCAGAGTCAACCAGAGCGGGAGACATTGGGTTTATGTATGCATGTGTGTGAAGGACAGGCGACAGCAGAGAGACAGGACAGAATAGGAGTGTATTAGCACTAGGGGACAGTCAGCAGTTTGCTCCGGCCCTTTGTAAAGCCCTACTCCATTGTCTGTGGCGCTGGAGGCTTTAGCTGTGGCCCAGCATGGCCTAGTTACTGGGCTTAGAGGGGCTGGGCACTGGATACCAGTCAGACACAACCACAGTTCATCACTGAAGGACCAGAAAACTGATATGTCAGTTAGGGTTGATATCATTTTTCAACAAATCATCACTCAATACTTTCCAACTTCCCAGTCCTTTTGCTAGCACCTACTGGTTCCCACCGGAGACAAACATTTTTACAGACAAGTTATGAGTATATACTTTGATTCAGTAATTTCATAAACAGCTGGCCACTGACGCTTTCAGCAAATGTTCCTCAAACAGGAGAAAATAGTTCATTTATTGGGGATGCTTTTAAGCTGTGGAGTAATACACATTTGTTGTTGTAGTTACTGCTGGTAGCAGGACAACAAAATCAATCTTAGTTTCTTTATTACAATAAACACAATTGTACTTTGATGCTGGGCTCAAAAATACAGCAAAATAAACTGAGCTCCACTGGGGAAAACCCCCCAACAAAAAACAGAAACCTCTGATCCAGAGAGAGAGACAGAAATAAAAACACCAAGGTAGAAATACAAATAGCACCAAACATACATATAAAATCCAAACTCCCAAGGGGGGAGCCAAGAGAACAGAAAATCAGAGCTGACTTACAAACATAAAGAGACTGAGGACAACAGAGGTAAAGTGCACACCAGAGGCATGCTGCCAAACCCAGACCGGACAGCTCCACACATGAGGAAACATGGCAGGTTAAACGTGCACACAACAAGCCACAGGTGAAACCAATCTGGTAATAATCAGGTAAAACAGCATAAGGCAGGAAGTCTTAACAAAATAAAAGCCTTAAAAAGGAAACCAAAACCAGATCCTGACAGACACAGTGGCACAGTGTATCATGCTGATACTGCTTGTTAGGTGGATACACTGATTGTTGGTTTTGGTGATATTATGGGATTTATAACCAGTGTTTCCTGCAACCAGCAGATTCTGTGTAACAGTTGTCATAATTACACAGTTAAATAAATGAATGAATGACTGTATTAAAATGCTAATTCACATTTTGTTTACAGGAAGATCTTTTGACTGCACAGCATGTACAGTATATGACTCAGATTTTGCTGCTAAGAAGTTTCCAGGTTTGAGCCCTTCTCAGTTCTTGTTTGCATGGAGTGTGGAGCATGGGAAGTTATCAGAGACACAGCGACTGGCATGTAGGCCACCCACTGAGGGCAATGTAAAGTGTAACATATTAGATGTGATGATCTGACCTGTACGACTGATGGCAATGCTGCAGTTCTTGAGAGAAACAGGATGTCAGGGTTTGTCTGTGATGCCTCCAAATGTCTGTTCTGACATTTCCTCAGTCTCCATCGTTAGCCCTGTCTTCTGCTTATGTTACAGTCTTTTCCTCTGTGTTTGTCTAATCACAGGATGAACAGTTCTTAGCTCGAGCCCTCTTCGTCTCCTCAGCTGCAGCTCTGTTGCAGCTGAAGAGATGAAACAGCATCATCAGCTCAGGAGTCAGTGAACTTATTTGGTCTGTGTATGATAAGTTTCATTTCTACAGTTTAATTTCATGCAAAGCAGTTTGTATATTTTGCAGGTGATGTGTATATACTGACCCTTGTGCTGCATGTTCAGCCCAGTATCGACTAGAATTACATTCATAATCATAACTTAGCCTGTTTGTTAGTTTGCCTTAGTTGTATATTAATGTTGTTGTTGTTCCATCTATCTATACTGGACAATTGTGCAGCACACAATGTACAGTATACAGTTTATCTAATGTCAAATACTTTAACATGACAAAAAGTAAGAATGTAGAGGGTGTAATTAATGGGTATGTCACTCATCCAGTTTATATACCAGAAACCTCAGCTGACTTGTTCGGGACCTCCACTTCAACCACCGAAGGCTCATTACTTTGTCCATTGATGCCAAATGAGGTGCACTATATGGACACAATTCCCAGAGAAACTGGGACCTCCTGTACAGATGTTTTAGGAGCAATTAATTATTCACACTGAGCAAAAGTATCAAAATTTAACATAACTGACTGGCTATCTTAGCATGCTAAGCTAATTCTAAAGTATGACTGACTGGAGTCTAGCCCCCAGTTTTAGATGGGTCTCATGGAATAAATTTGACCTGTTGGTTTGTTTGTATTAGTTGGTTCAGCTTCTGTGCACAAAATGTGCCAAATTTCATTCCAATCGATCCAACAGTTGTCAAGGTATTTCCCTCCAGACAAACAAACAGACACAGGTTGAGTGCAGCTGCTTTCTTGCCAAATGACACAAAACATTTCATTAGCGTCAAAATTTCAAGGCCATGTTTCTGACAGTTCATTTTTTAAACAAAAAGCATCATGATGCGAAGTGAATTTGTGCAGCTGATCATTTTATAAGTGAGTTCAGACCTTTAACAAATGTGTGATTTCACAGAAACACCCTGAGACAAAGTGTGGCGCTTCATCAGGTCTCGGGGTGATAAATGTAGTTTTCGTCCTCAGAGTCAGTGTTTGTCTGCCATATGCCTCTGTTAATCCCTACAAAGTGCAGAGTAGTTGAAGGCTGAGTCACTGAGGATGGCGCCAGCATGAACACACACACACATGCTGACACACGTGCGCTGCTAAAGCCTAAGAATCCTGTGGGTTTAACAGAAAGTGACTCAGAAGGATCACAAGTTTTTTTTCCTCGATGCCCACTCACAGCTCAGCGCTTCAGCCTTCAAAGCACTCCTCTACCTTCCCTTTCCCCAGACAGATGAATAATTTGTTCTGAGCCATGAATCGTCATTCTGATGAACTGCTGCTGTCAGAAAGGCCACCAGAGGTGGAGCAGGAACACAGACAAACCAAAGCAAAAAACATGTTTGTGGTTGTTTACTGGAGAAATCACATTGTGGTTAGAGGGAAGGCACACGGAGCAACTGTGACTGGCAAAGACACCTGAGGAGCTTTTCTGTGCTGTGTTGTATGAGCATCCACAACTCAAACAGGTCTCAGATGGCTTCTTTTGTCGGGCTCACTGCATGAAGCATACAGAGGAGGAAGCAACTATTTTCTTTCAGAGTACTTCAGTACAGAAAGTCAAAAGTCATGTCAAACTGTCGCTGACCTCGGTATGAGGTGGGGACTCAAGTCACATGACTTGACTTGATTCAGCCTTAACACTGGTAAAGCACTCGACATGACTTGGTACTTATGATCTGACTTAGACTTGATGAATTGAGAAGCTGCAGTTTGTTGTTGAAACAGTTTCAGCAGTAAGTAAAACCTGCAGTGTCAGCAACAGGCTCACCACAGCATCCAACTTCATTAACTCACAAATACATAGCTCGTCTGCAGTGTCAGCAACAGGCTCACCACATCATCCAACTTCATTAACTGACAAATACATAGCTCGTAAACTAACGTTAGGTTTAAGCTGTTAGACCTGCTTTTGAATTGATTGCACATTTTATTGAAAAGGGTTTCTGATAGCCAAGAAAGGCATGGATGCCTTTTTAATAGTCAAGGGTTAGTTTATAGCCTACAAATGCACAATTAATAATCAGAGGTTTGTGAACATTTTGCTTAAATATGTCATATGCCCATAACATTACCAGATCATCAGACTTTTGTATGACTTGACTTGTGACTTGCTTGATTTATAGCTGTGACCTGACATGCTTGATTCTCACAACAGTAACTTGGGACTTGCACATGTGGGACTTACTCCTACCTCTGGTAAGTACAGGTTGAACCTGTTAGAATGGTGTGAAATTTGGCCTCACACATACATGAACCAAGGAGGATGAACTGTAATAACTTTTATTATCCCACTGGAGACCTGGTGAAACAGTTTGGCGTCAGCCCTTCAGAGCCATTAGCAATCAGTCAAATGAATTGAATTACATGGGAGAGAAGAGAGCGATGATATAATTTGGTTGATTGCATTCAGAGGCAGGAGAGGATGAGGAGGGCCTGAGAGCTCAGAAACGGTTTTATTTCCTACACCAGAGACGCCTTAAAGATTTCATAATTAAGATGCAATAGAAAACTACAATATAAACTTGAAAAAGAGCAAATCTGCTGCTAAAAACTGTACAGAAGATCCAGTTTGGGGATTTGAGGTAATGCTGCAGTTCTGCTCTCGGCTGCTGTGATGTCGGTCCGTGCCTGAGGGAGGGAGAGCGAGCACCCAGTTACTATCAATACTAAATCATACACACAACATCACTGTGGCTCCCTAAAGGTTAGAGAACTGTTTCAAGCTGAACACCTCCTACCTTCATTATTCTTCTGCTGTATCTTTGCTTCTGAATTTACAGCAGCTTAAAATCTCACCCAGGTTTTGTTTTGAATCACCCACATGGATGCAGATTTTCACCTTTTGTTCTAAGTTCATGCCCATTTCCAGCAACGTCAACACTCAAACATCACAGTACCCCTTTATAAGAAGACTAATTTCATGACTAAGTGCTTACATAGTGTCTTTATTAAGTTTAAATAAGGCTTTGGTGCTTTGTAAAATAAACCAGCCTCCAACTAAAACCAAGTTGTCTCCCCTAAAACTCAGCAGATTTCAGTCCCCACGATGTGGGTGTGTAAACAGGCTTTGGTCCCTCTCTCCCTATCCCTTTCTTCATGGGACAACTTAGTAACAATATAATTACTTTTAATATTAGTAGTACCATTGGTTGTACAGTTAATGACATTTAAAACATAACAGAATAACTTCTTAATGACTTACTACCATTTATAACTGCAAAGCTTAGAAAACTCAGACCCTAATTAAGGACTCACTTTTTTAATTAAGCTGTTATACTAATAAGCTGTTCAACCAGCTCTGACAATGTGGTGGAGCCCCACTTTCCCCAGACACAGGCAGGTACGATCAGAACCAGCCATGTTAGGAGACGGCAGTCCACTGTTTACTGTTTGCACCCTCGTCACCACATCTGTCCACTGAGAGGACACCATGGTAATTAAAGTGCAAATGGCTCTGTGCTTCTTCCTCCTGCAGACACAGACACACAACTATATCCTGACACCATCCTCTTCATTATCTCACTCACTCTGCTTCTTAGGAAATACTGACAACCACTTTCTATTTGGAAATCGCGTTTGACCTTTAATGTATAAAGACAACAAATAGACAAAAACCGTATCTGTGAATGTTGGTGCTTCATTACGTTTTAATTTTTCATTTGTCATTTTATTTAATGCTGTGGTTTTGCATTCCAGTAGAGAAGTGTAAGATACTCACCGATGACGACAGGAAGCGCTTGGTTTCAGCTATTTTGTCCAAAGGGTGTGCTACCAAATATCAAGTAGAGGGCGTCAGTAATTCTGTCCAGTCCATTTTGGAGTTCTTTGTGGAATGTATCAGATTTTGTTTTTTTTCCTCTGCTTTTTGTTGTTCCAATGCAAACAAAAGAAATAAACAGGAGAATACCAAAGAATTTGTGATTGCAACAATTTTCTGGGAGAAGTGATGCCAATATTTTTGTTTCATGTGCAGTTTCTACTTTTCTTCTCACACAGGATTAAATGATACATTAAGTATTATAGCATCATAACTGTCATCTTTAAGACTAAAACACACACACACTCATACATGTGACAGGCATACACACAATACCTGCTGCAGATTGACACTTTCATCCTTCCTGCACACCTCTGCAGCATCTTGGAGCCGAAACAGCTGCATGAAGAGTAACACAAACACAAAAGACATGATCTTTCACAACACTGCATAGTAAAATAGTTTTACTGGGTGGTCCACACACAGAAGTCGTCCCCTGGCAGCAGAGACTCTTTCCATTATGGCTTTATTGGGGCGGTGCAGCTTGATGCTGCAGTAATAAGTGCAGATGTGAATAAACAATCTTCACTGTCAGTTCCCTTGTGCTTTAATAGAAATCTTTTGCTTCTGTTAAACACTGAGCAGAAAAGGGCACTGAAACACCAAAACAATTTCCTCACCTCTCATATTCAAAATAAATCTTTTGCCGCTGCCCATTTATATTTTGACATGTCCTGCCATTTTTAATTCCTGGCAAAACACTTAATGTTCTTCATGCAAATTTCAGTTGTGTGTCCAAAGGGTCCTGATACTTCCACATGTAAACTCTGATAATGACAATTTTCAATGGCTGTAACACGATGACTAACCAGCACGAGTTGCAGCAACAACCAAGACGACCTTCAGTGACCGACAAACATAGGTGTGTTCTACTTATAACCACCCATAAAAAAGACAGAAGTCACACTGCTGTTGTGTGCAAACACTCCACCCCGCACCAGCGTGATCCATCTAATGCTGCTTGATTCTGTTTGTGTGTAAAACCTCAGTCCTATCTGCCACTCCCACTTACACACACACACAAAGACACACACACTTGGTGGGCCACTTGATGGGTGGGGGCTGGACGGTTTTGGATGGTTAACAGAAGGACAGAAATAACCTGGGTTGGGCTCTGCTGCGTTCCGCGACCCCTGGTGACACTAAATAGTTCGCACACTGGACGTACCTCAGAGGACATGCGAGTGTGGGGTTTTTCTTAGTTCTGTCAATTCCTCATGCTGGAAATGTTAAAAGCTGGAACAATTATGAGCAGGAATCAGAGGCAGATAAATGGGATATACAGCTGAGTGTAGACTGCTTGGTCGAGTGCTATGTACAGCCCTCTTCAACTTGATCCACCAGTTTTCAATGATGGTTAAGTCTGGAGACTTGGTAAAACACTCACCTTATTCTTTTAACTATTCCTAAGTTGACTTTGTGCTTTGGATCATTGTCTTGTTTAAGGATCCACTGCCTTTCCCTTTTTAGCTTTTTGACTGATGGTAGGAGGCTTTGCTTTAAAATCATCTGATATTCATTCTTCCTTCCACTTTATGCAGCACTCCAGTGCCTGATGCAGACAGACGCCCCCAATAATGAGAGCAGGTTCACAGTGAGCACATGTGAGAGGCATGAAAGAGTCTGAAGACGCTGTGGTGAACATTGTGCTGCCTGTAACTTCATTGAGCCTGACCGGTTTGGTGGTGGCTCAGTGATGGTCTGGGGAGACATAACCTTAGAGGGCTGCACAGACCTCTGTGTCTTAGCATATGGTACCCTGACTGCTGTGAGGTACTGGAATGAAATCCTCAGAGCGATTGTCAGACCTTATGATGGTGCAGTGGGCCCTGAGTTCCTCCTGGTGCAGGACAGTACCCAATTTCTTATGGCCAGTGTGTGTAGGCGGTTCCTGGATAACAAAGGCATTGGTGCCATTGACTGGCCCTCACGTCCTCCTGATCTAAATCCAGCCAAGCGCCTATGGGACATTATGCATCGGTGCATCCGATGAAACCAGGTACCACCACAAACTGTCCAGGAGCTCACTGATGCCCCGATCCAGGTGTGGGAGAAGATCCCTCAGGACACCATCTGCCAACTCATCAGGACCATGCCCAGATGTTGTCAGGAGCATAAACAGGCACGTGGGGGCCACACACTTCTGAGTCACATTATGAGTTGCTGTGATGAGATTCACACATCCTGGATGAGCCTGTGATTTCAATTTGTCACTTTGATTTTCAGTGTGATTTTGAGTCCAGCCCTCCATGAGTTGATGCTTCTGGTTTCTATTGACTGTTATGTCACTTTGTTCTGAACAAATTACACAATGTACATTAGTGAAGGTCTATCTTTGTGGGTAGACATCAAACAGCACGTGTCAGGCTGGCGTGCAGTCAGCAGGGACTGGGTGTGTTTGATAAGCACATTTAGATAATACCCATCCAGTGGCCCACAGCTGGACTCGCTGGGTTTAACATCAGTTAAGTCTGGGCTCAGAATCAGAATCTGCTTTATTCTGATTCTGAGTCCAGAGCTTTGAGCTAAAACTGGACAGTTAGAGAAATTAAGAAGTTACAGGCAGCAAAGATGGAATTTGGGGGAGTAAGACAGAACTACATTATCTATCTGGTTTTATTTAAGGCCATTGTAATAAGTATTATATGGTAATGATCATTCTGTCCTGCTGTGAGACGTAAGGGACACCGTCCGGGCTCGTCTGGTCATTTCTTTTCTGATGAAATCTATAAAATGTAGGAGTTGACCAAGCTTGGATTTTTAGCCTGAGTGTTACTGGATTGTTATTTCCTCTGGAATCCCTGAAGAGCATCTGAGAAAGATGGGAAGTGAGACATGAGGACACTTCATAAGCCTGTCAGGTTAAACGCGCACCAATGCCGCACACAAGTGTTAGAAATCTGCTACTGCAACATGATATGAGACAAATAACTTCCCACTGGAATAATAAAAAGAAGGCAGGATCTGAAAAAGTGTGCTTCAGTGGAACAGAAAACTAAAAATTTAAATCCAGTTACACTTGTTCAACCTTAATGGACAAAGCACTTTACCAAGTGCCTCTCACTCACCCACTCACACACAAAAAGTTGTGGTGCAGTTGTTTTTCAGGAAACCACAAGTGTGGCTTTTCTCTTTCATTGGTTCTTTCACATAAATATGGAACTAAACCAAAGGTTGTGCAGCCTGTTTCGTTTCTACACCTCATTCTCAGTTCATTATAGATGCACCACAGTAAAACAGTCTGATCCAACAGTCCTGCAAAAAATCCTCCTTCCTGAAGAAAATCTTTTAGAGAGTTGTTAATTCAGCTGTATGATCATTTTGGAGGATGTAGCTTATGGTGATAACAGAGGTGTTTCTGTAATTGGTGGACAAAATAATATCTGGACTCTATTCTAATTCTGGATTAAGTATGTTCCTGTTAAATCTAGATTTTGAAATAACATTCCACGTTTTTTTTTGTAAGAAATATAAAGTCAAAAATATACTTTCTTGTAAAAAGCAGAAACTGACAAAGAGCTGTTTGTCTTGAAGCAGCAGACTGACTGAATGACTATGACAAGGCACAAAGTGAATTTACATAATGAAAAACATAAGCAAGATAAATTCTATAAAACTTGTTGTAAGCCTCATTTCACATGATTAAACCAGAAGATTGCTAAAGCCTAACTTTCCCATTAACAGTCACTTTAATTAGTAGTTGACTCAGCTTCACTCATCATGAAATTTCAACATTTCAAAAATGTTTTAAAAAGAGTGTATGTTTAATTTCTCATTTGAAAATCAAGAGGTCTAAGTGATTTACCTTGACATAAATATGAAAAATTGTACATTCTGGATAAGATCTGAGGGGACAGTGTAATAAGACATAGCTGGTAATTCTGAAATTAACATTCCTTTAAAGTTCAAAACAAAGATTTCTTGACATGAATGTGTGACTGAGCTAAGCACAGAGAGGAGAATCAGCCTATGTGGAAACCTGAAGCATGTGAGTGAACATGTTGTACCAGCATGACAGCTGGGATCGAGCACAGCTGCAGGACACTGAGGACATATGCAAAGGCAGCAGTTTGTGACATGTGCCCCCCACCCCCTCAAAGTAACACATTACTGTGACAGAGAACTTATAAACCTCATGCAAAAACAACAGTGTGCAGGACGAGTGAACGGCACCGTCATGTCTCCCTCAGAAAGTCATCCTGAACTAGAAGTCTGTGCTCCATTTCTAATAATAGCGTGTAACAGTTGGGTGTATTAGGTCAGCTCCAAGTTCCACGCCTTATACGAGTCAATCCATAACAAACAAACTCGACAGGGAGTTGGACAAAAACACGAAAAATCATTGCTCATATTAAAACAAAGTCTCTTTGCGGGTTTAAATCGATGTGATCGTATATTCTCATACCTCCAGCCCTCAGAAACAGCCTCCCGGGTTTGGAGCGCAGCCTGGAAACTTTGCAGCCTCACCCACAGAAAGTCACTTTTACGCATCGACCGGCAGCATTTGCGCGCAGGAACACATACACTCACCTATGATTCCAGGTGGCATCAAACACGATGTTGTCAGAAATAATTCGCTGCTTAAAGGCTGACAGACATCCTCTCCAGTTCCGCGGTGATATGCTGAGATATCGGCCGCCATGTCTGCCCTGCTGGCCCCCGCGCCGTCAACGCTCCTCCCCCATGCTGCTGTACAGATGGAGGCAATAGCTGACGTGTAGCTGACACTGAGCCAGCCATATCTAATGTTAGAGGTTAAAAGTCCTCAGCCTTCTGTGACATGGCTCCCTGAACTGCCAAATCACCTGCAGTTAGCTCTTCATCCAATCACTGCAGAGGAGGCCAGATGTTCCCTGAAAACCTTTGCACTGAAGGTTTTAAAAAGGAATGCCCTGTGTGTAAACATCACAACACTGCCCATCACAAATTAGGGATTACTGCTTGGGAAAAAAGAGACTTGATAAATGATATGGCAAATACCTACAAAAATAAAAAAATGAATTAGTTTATAGATTAAATGAGCTGGTGAGAGGTCAAAATAACACTACAATAAATTTAGTTTTTATTTTATCAGCTGATTTGTTGCTCTTTTGCTGTATGGATTGATTGGACTGATAGGAGGTTACTACATATGGTAACAGTTGATAGCACTATTATCCAACCCTAACCCACCATACCATCTCTGAATCTATCCCTATGTGTTGTTTTTTTACACAGTGCTAATATTTATGAGTGTGGATGAGCATATGTGACAAAAGGATACATACTGGTGTCCTTCTTGCGCAACTCCAGCAATCTCTTGTTTCCGTCAGTCAGCCCCTGTAGCCTCTGACTGTCCGCCTGCGATACCAGGGAAAATCTGGCTCCATCAGCTGTTGACTTTTTTTTTAAGTGCTGACAGAAGAGTTGAAGTATAATTTAAGTCAAACGGGTCAAAAGGGTTTTCTTTACTACTGCTATATTTGTGAACTTTTATTTTGGAGGAAACGGTTTCTTTTACGGTTTCAGTATTAACTGTACCTGACTCTGCGGCTGAGACAATCACATCTCTCCTGCAGCAGCGCCACCTTGCTCTCCTGTTGCTCCTTTTCCTCCTTGGCTCTCTTGCTCTCTTCCCTGGCTTTATCTCTCTCCTCTCTCAGCTTCTCCTCCACCTCTTTAGCCTCGTTCTTTTCCTCCCTGGCTTTCTGGATGAGTTCTCGGGCTTGATGTTTCTCCTCTCTCATCCTCTCCAGCTCCTTCTTTAGCTGGTCTCTCTCCTGGATGAGCCTGGGTAAGGCCTGAAGACACACAGGTGGAGAAATATAAGGCTGGCTGATGGCAGGGGTAGGTGAATATAACCACTCTTTTCATAAGGAAACATTAGACCTCCCACCTCAATCTGCCTGTCCAGGTCCTCCTCTTCCTCCCCAAGCTTTTTCCTTCTGCTGTATAGAACAGAAGACCTTGATCTGAAGCATGACCTCCTGGATCTTCAGTTCATTGGTTCTAAGCTCCAACTTATCTGCCAAATCCTGCAGTTCGGACTCTTAATATAAGAAATAAGACATTTATTTTCTAGAATAAAGTGTTTGTGTTTTCCTGTCTGTAATACCGAATTCCCACAGAAGGATATTTAGTAAGGCACAGCTGGCTTAAGAAGAAAAGGCCTCCCCTTGATGTTTAATACTGGACATAGAAAAATGTTCTATTATCGGATGTGAATGTAAACTATGCACTTAAATACATCCAGAAACCACCTGTGATAGCAGGTGGAGACAAGACCTTGAGAGCAATTGATTTTAGAATTTGAATGGAAGTGTAATGCTACCAAAGGTGCAGCACTGCATCGTTAGGAAATGTGTTAAACTGTTAGTAAATCTGTGCCGTCTCACCTTGCGTGAATGTATCAGCTGTGTCTTTTCTATCTGCGCGTCCAGCTGCAGACGGAGTCTCTCCAGCTGGACAG